TTTTTTATATGTGACTTTTATTTTATTTTACTTTTTTATATGTTACTTTTATTTTTTTTTATTTATATTTATTTTTTTGCACTTATTGTTATTGCTATTATATAGGGGGATAACAATCCCCCTATATAATAGCAAAGGCACACTGACAGGTCCTCTTTATGGAGACATTGGGGGTCTCTAGGACCTCTAATGTCACCTGTGGACCCCAAAAGAAGCTGATGAAGCAGAGATCTGGGGGATGGGCGGACGCGAACGAGCACATATAGACGATCGGTGGGCTATGGAGCCGCTGATCGCCTTTATGTGAAACACCCGGTAACGGGTGTGTGCAATGGTCAAGTCTTTTCTGCCCGTGCGTGCCCGCTAGGGGGGCGCGCGCAAGCAGAAAAAAAATGCCGTTTGGAGACGGCAACCCGCCAATGCTGCAGTGCCGTCCGTCCGTTTTTTTACCAAGGGCGGACGGCAAGAGGTTAACATGGGCTTTTAGTGCGTTCCAGGCATTTGAATGCGTTTTTGATGCGTTTGCAGATCCAGAGCAGGTAAAATAGGGCCTGCTGCATTTTTTAAAATCTGCTCTGGATCTGCATGCTGTGGTGTGAACTGGAGCTCAAAATACCATAGGAATACATTGGACGCAGTTTTGATCCGGTCTGCACCTGCTCTGCTCTGGATCTGCTCCGCGCTTGGTGTGAACAAGCCCTAAGTGCAGTGTAGCCGGAAAGATGACTGAGAACATTTGCAAATAACTGGTCAAATGCAGGACAAAAAAAATCATGAAAATGACAAATTCTTTTTGCCAGCATGGCTCCATTTAAAAGATATTAGACCAGGCCTAGGATGGAGTAAAAGAACATTTTTAACTGAAAAAATGTATCTACTAAATACATTTTCTATATTGTTTTCTTTGTCAAAATATTGTAGAAGTGAGCATTGGAATTGCCCATAACATGTACGCAACTGTAAATCTTATCAAATCTGTAGAAAGCTCCTCACATCATTAGATTTGTCTTCTTGAGAGCTCTAATTTAAGACCTACACACCGTGTTTTATTGGAAAAATGTTAAAAGTTGTCCCTTAAACCTTTTTATATCAGTGCTCCACAAAATGATCAGTAATACTTTTGACAGGGCAATATTTGAAAGAGTGTTTGTCACTTTGCCCATTCAAGCAAAGTGATGGGTTCTTATGATAGGGCTCTTCCCCAGCCACTTGTACTCACCTTGTCTGCACTCCTGCATGTGATAGTGTTCAAGTCTCACGATTGGCCACTCGGGGTCATGAACTGCATCCTAGGAGGAAGAGGAGAAGATCACATGCTCTTTGATATCCAGAAGTATTTCTTAGCAGAAACGAAGCATGGGCCTGAATTTCTCTGTGAGAATGAGAAATGTTGTAATAATAAAGCTAACTACCACATTACCGATTATAAATGAATGCTTTGGTGGGATTAGTAGCCATTCCACCAGTGTATAGTCCATAAGCTGCCAGCAGTAAGAGCCAAGCACTGGGACGATGTAACTCCCATTCTCATAATTGGGTGCTCAGTGGCTAAAGACAGGAGACTTTGAACCCGGAAGAAGATGGCGGCAGCTGAGCAGCAAGGAGGAGTTCACTGGAGGAGATAAGTGTGCCATATTGTGCAAGCAGTCTGTGTATAGTTGCATATTTTGGCAAGAGCTGCAGGGCCACATACAGTTTTGTATTAGAGCATAAAGAGTCGAGAGGGTTTCCTAACCTTCACTACTGTCCTTTCATGTCCTTCGTGTTGCTGTTTTCATCCCTCCTGTGTCACACACAGGCAGTCCCTGAACCTTGAGTTGGAGTGTGAGCCATTACACTTTCCCAACTTTTGTATCCTCCCCTGTATCCAGCAGACAGCTAGGGCAGAGTGGGGTGTTTCTAAACCTCCAGGTGACCATCACGGCAAAGAAAGGTGGATAGGGTGCTAAGTGATTGTCCACCAGCCACCCTTGTAGTTGCTTGTGTTTTAAATATATAAATGCAGTATCGATATGTTTTCACATCCTCTGCTTTGTGTATAGTGTTGAACAGTCATCAAACCTCCAGGACCAGTTGAGGCATCTTTTGAAGTGAGAAGAATCCAGGGAAGCTTGGTACATTAAATAATGCTGCCTACCATGGATCCAAAGCTGCTTGTATGTTGGTATTTGACAGCTCCTGGGTATGCTCCTTTGTGCCAGTGGATTATTAATACTTGAACATACCTATAATATGTCTAACTAATATTGGTGTCTGTGTTTTTTTTTTTATTCTGTGTAATATTATTCATGATGGCTCTTCAAAGATCACATTGATGTTGAAGTTCATCTAAGACAAGAATGGAGTGCTCTTTATCTGGGTGTCACCAGATCAATCCTTTCACACAGTTTAGATAATATACTGTAACTGTGAAATGTCTGATTTAAAATAAAGCTGTTCTTCAGTTAAGCATATGAAGGCATTGTTCATCTTGCCTTCTATTCCTCCCAATTCTTCACCTGCCTGCCATGGGAGTTCCTAACCTTAAATTATCTCATTATGCAGACAGCAGTTGTGACCTTGAAGTCAGAGCTCTGAAACTCCTAATGCAGTACACACACCTTAATAACTTATAGAGAGGTGTTATAGAGAAGGACCCCCGACTTGGATCTGGAAGTTGCAGTCTCTGTTTGGAGCAATCCTGGGACCAGGGACATCCCCGGCACATAGGAGAAAAATATATGGGAACAAATGAAGTATTAGCTTGTTAGGATGCCTTGCTGTGTTAATTGTATTGATTTGGGGTTATTAGAAAAGAAAAGCTAGAGATATTACATTCATAATTTATAGAAATAGAATTTTTTTTATTATCGTAAAAAAAAATGCAAAGACACCGAAAAAGTAGCCCAGCGTTGAAAAAAAAATTAAAAGAAGAGTCCACATGCACAAATTACCTTGTATTTTCCTATGCGCATATACACTATATTGCCAAAGGTATTGGGACACCTGCCTTTACACGCACATGAACTTTAATGCCATCCTAGTCTTAGTCCGTAGGGTTCAATATTGAGTTGGCCCACCCTTTGCCGCTATAACAGCTTCAACCCTTCTGGGAAGGCTGTCCACAAGGTTTAGGAGTGTGTCTATGGGAATGTTTGACCATTCTTCCAGAAGCGCATTTGTTTTTGTTTTTTTTACAGGTATTCCAGAAGCGCATTTGTGAGGTCAGGGACTGATGTTGGACGAGAAGTCCTGGCTCTCAGTTTGCGCTCTAATTCATCCCAAAGGTGTTCTATCGGGTTGAGGTCAGGACTCTGTGCAGGCCAGTCAAGTTCCTCCACCCCAAACTCGCTCATCCATTTGTTTATGGACCTTGCTTTGTGCACTGGTGCACGCTCATGTTGGAACAGGAGGGGGCTATCCCCAAACTGTTCCCACAAACTTGGGAGCATGAAATTGTCCAAAATGTCTTGGTATGCTGATGCCTTAAGAGTTCCCTTCACTGGAACTAAAGGGCCAAGCCCAACCCCCACACCATAATCCCCCTTCACCAATCTTTACGCTTGGCACAATGCAGTCAGGCAAGTACGTTCTCCTGGCAACCGCCAAACCCAGACACGTCCATCGGATTGCCAGACAGAGAAGCGTGATTCGTCACTCCACAGAACATGTCTCCACTTCTCTAGAGTCCAGTGGTGGCGTGCTTTACACCACTGCATCTGACTCTTTGCATTGCACATGATGTAAGGTTTGGATGCAGCTGCTCAGCCATAGAAACCCATTCCATGAAGCTCTCTACGCACTGTTGTACCAATCTGAAGGCCACACAAAGTTCGGAGGTCTGTAGCTATTGGCTCTGCAGACAGTTGGCGACTTCTGCGCACTGTACGCTTCAGCATGCGCTGAGCCCGCTCTGTCATTTTACATGACCTACCACTTTGTGGCTGAGTTGCTCGCTCAGCCTCCTGTGACAGTTGTCAGGATGGAGAGTGAGATTCAGCTATCGGTGATCGCTGAGTGTTTGTATATAATCGAGGACATAGTATGGTTACTCAATCCTCAAAAATGAATGAATGGGAGTGGCCTGCATCCCCTCCTGTTCATTCATGATTGTGGACATAGTAATCACAATATATCCACATGTTATGAATGAACAGGAACACTCATAGAGGATTTCTGTTCATATATATAACGGGATGCAGAAGAGATTGTGTCTTCAATCTCTTTTTCTATTTTAAAAGGGAAATATCAGGGGTCTGTTTAGACCCCTAATATTTCCCCAAAGACCTTAAAAGTAAAGTTAAAAAATAAAAATATTTGATTAAAAAATGGATAAAAGACCCCATGTGAGACGTCATGCTATGCAGTGTATGCCAGTGGTGGAGCAACACTATGCAATCACATAGTAAACAGAACTGCAAGGCAGTTGCAAGGATTTTTGCTACGCAGGTGAAGGTGCATTTTTCCAGCCCCTTCCCTGGCGCAGTCTCAGGCAGCTGCCTATGACTACTTACGCTAGCAGCAGCCCTGAACTGACTCAGTTCAATCCTGTAGCCAAACTGAAGTTTAAGTAGTCATGAAATGTGCCTTCAAAGTAAAATAGGAAAGACTCAGAAAAGTTATATCTCAGGTGTATTTTCATTTCTGCCAGGCAAGGTTCACACTATGCATTACCGTGACTGCCATGTTGTTGCCATTGTGATTTAACTGACCCCTTCCCCCTTTCTACTTACTGTAACAGGTCCAATACAGGGAGCAAAACAATTTTACTAACTTGTATTATGCTGTGTGTGAAAATGTATGGGGATCAGATACAAGGAAAGGAAGGGATCATGTAAAGGAGGAAGGGATCAGATACAAGGAAAGGAAGGGATCAGGTAAAGGAGGAAGGGATCAGGTAAAGGGGGAAGGGATCAGGTAAAGGGGGAAGGGATCAGGTAAAGGGGGAAGGGATCAGGTACAGGGAAAGGAAGGGATCAGGTACAGGGAAAGGAAGGGATCAGGTACAGGGAAAGGAAGGGATCAGGTACAGGAGGAAGGGATCAGATACAAAGGAAGAAAAGGATCCAGTACAGGAGGAAGGGATCAGATACAAAGGAAGAAAGGGATCAGGTACAGGAGGAAGGGATCAGACAGGATCTTATGTTATGCAACTTGCAGAGAGAAGTTGCAGCCAGTGGCGTAACTAACAACCAGGGGAAGATGCAATATGATGTTTCACTTTTTTGATGTTTGATTTTTTTCAAATAAACTTTTTCATATTAAAATCACTAAGCCGTTTGGTCCCGGTCCTTAAAAAACCTCTTCAGTTGACACCTGCTGCGGGTATGAACTAAATGGTGTTTTTGTAGTCTATTAGGATTACGGACAGCGTGATCAGATGCTTTATAATAAAGGGGTTACGAAACAGTGATTGTGTCTTCGGAAGATTTGATTTATAATTTGTTTGTGTATGTTCTATAACACCCCATCACACACACATCTGCTCCTGCTGCCATCCTGTACATCTGCCCCACTGCCATCCTGTACATCTGCCCCTGCTGCCATCCTGTACATCTGCCCCGCTACCATCCTGTACATCTGCCCCGCTACCATCCTGTACATCTGCCCCTGCTGCCATCCTGTATATCTGCCCCTGCTGCCATCCTGTACATCTTCCCCGCTACCATCCTGAACATCTGCCCCTGCTGCCATCCTGTATATCTGCCCCTGCCGCCATCCTGTACATCTGCCTCGCTACCATCCTGTATATCTGCCCCTGCTGCCATCCTGTACATCTGCCCCGCTACCATCCTGTGCATCTGCCCCCGCTACCATCCTGTGCATCTGCCCCTGCTGCCATCCGGTACATCTGCCCCGCTGCCATCCCGTATATCTGCCCCCCTGCCATCCTTTACATCATCTCCGCTGCCATCATGTACATCAGCTCCGTTGCCATCATGTGCATCTGTCCCTCTACAGTCCTGTATATCTGCCCCTCTGCCATCCTGTACATCATCTCCGCTGCCATCCTGTACATCAGCTCCGTTGCCATCATGTGCATCTGCCCCTGCTGCCATCCTCTACATCTGCTCCGCTGCCATCCCTTTACATCTGCTTCGCTGCCATCCTGTACATCTGCCCCGCTGCAATCCTGTACATTGCATTATAGTATAATCTATTGCTGGGATTACTAGTCCTCTATATCTGATGGTATTCTGCATTGCTGTATAATGTTTTCCAGGGATTTGTAATTCTCTCTAGTTGCTGGTATTCTGCATTGCAGTATAATATTTTGCTGGGATTTGTAGTCCTCTATAGATGGTGGTATTTTGCATAGCTGTATAATATATTGCTGAGATTTGAAGTCCCAGCATGCCCTCATTGGCCCTGTACAGCCCCCTATACCTCAGTTTCCTGAATGATATTTAGGGGGCATACAGGAACAATGAGGGCATGCTGGAACATGTAGTTCCCTGGGTAATATTTTTTTTGGGGGGGGATCACAGCGGTAGTCCGGGTCAGTGACACATCCCAGATAAAGAGGCTTTGCTGGTTGTTTTCCTTCCCTGTTATTGCTGCCAGGCACCCCTCCCCCCTCCGACTTCCCGAACGGCACAGACACAGATCCCTCACCTACACAGGATGAGCAAGTCCCCTCACCTACACAGGATGAGCAAGTCGTGCTCCCGCTGGAATCCCTTCCTCTATTTATGGGTTCAAGAGGCAGCTGCTTTGGGCCCCTCAACATTGACTGGGCCCCGGGCAGCTGCCCTTTTTGCTCCACGTTAAAACCGGCCCTAGCCGGTTCACACCAGCTCTAGTGCGTTCCAGCATGTATTAGGTACCTGGTGTTGAGACCGAAGGTATGAGGAGGCTCCACTTGCACCCCGTGTCTTGTGGCCTTTGAGATTGGGGACAAAGGCCAGTCGGACAATGAGTGGCACGAGGGCTTTTGGTAGATCCAGTAATCGATGTCAAAACAAGCCGGCGTCAATAGCCAGGAGATCCGATGCGGTACAATAAGGAGCAGGCAGAAGAATATCCAGAAAACAGTCCGAGGTCAATAAGGCAGGCAGCAAGCAAGGATAGTCGGCAAAACAGGAACGAGTCACAATCCAGAGAGATCAGGAGAATACAGGATCAGGCAAAACAGGATACACGGAACACACACAAACTGGAAAGACAAACCAGCAACTAGTGGGCGTTTGAGCTGGGTTTAAATAGGGCCGTGAATCTATCTATGACGTCACTTCCTGTGCGCCACTTGGCGCGGATTTCCGCACGGCACCTCCGACTGCGCATGCGCGTGTTTGTTCTCAGCTGCGCATGCGCATGTTCGTTCTCCGCTGCGCATGCGCAGAGCGGGACTTTTGCTGACAGCATGATTCCATTCTGGAGCGCATCCCTGCCGGTGTTCTATCGAAAGTTCCAACTTGTCGACCAATCCAACTGGTGACATCACATCCGGTGACTGCCAGTAGGAGATCTACAGCAGATGGTGCTAGTGCGCATGCCCAGGAAAACTGTAACAATTGCCACAGCGCCTGCGCGGCTATCTACTTCTATAATCTACTACAGCTATATTTGTCCTAGGTTATAGAAGCCGATAGCCGCGCGGGCGCAGTGGCTATTGCCTCATCAGAATCTATAACCTAGTCAAAGGTTATATTATGTTACAACACCTGCGCGGCCACATGAATCTTTCTACAACCGCAGTTGCCACTGCGCCTGCGCGGCTATCAGCTTCTATAACCTAGGACAAATATAAGTTTGTACTAGGTTATAGGATCCGATGAGCTGCTAGCCGCGCAGGCGCAGCGGCAAAAGTTAGACAGTTCGACAAGAATTTTCTGCCCATGCACACTAGCTCCATCTGCCGTACATCTCCTACTGGCAGTCACCGGATGTGACGTGCCCAGTAGGAGAGTTCGACGAGTTGGAGCTTTCGATAGAACCCCGTGATGCACTCCAGCGCGTTCCAGCAGTGAATTATGCTGCAACGCACCGGAGCTGGTGTGAACCGGCCCTCAATAAAGGAAGACGGTGGGACTGGCAGGATCAACCGGGTAATTCTAACTGAAAAAAGATGAAAGCAATTTTTTTTTAAAGAGTAAATATATTAAAACATGCACCCAGGAAAAAAATAGGGTAATAAACAATTTAAACAGTCTTAGAAAATTCTGATAATGTGTACAGTCAATACAGATAATGTAAGGATATAAAACTGTAAGGGGTGCTTGCGCAGACCTCTCCCACATTACTGCTACACAAAGCAATAATCTTCCAGGTATATTATTTAACAGCAGCAATGTCCTTCACAGAGCGGAGCAGAGTTTACATTTAGCAGCTGAGGGTATTGAGTTCATGCAGAGGGAGGGGAGAGGAAGCTATAAGCAGCACTGCATTCTGGGTAACAAGGAAGCTAGGGATTGTGCAGAACTAAGAATGGCAGACTGCTGTAGGTATGTGTCTGCTGTGTGTGTCTGTGTCTGTGTTTTTGCATATGATCAGTGTTTTTATCGAAAAGTCTGTGACTGTAAAAGCAATCACAATGTAATCTGACAGTGTTACTACACTTCTAAACAGCAGACTAAAGAAACAACAGTAGGTCTTTGACATTTGTGTTCTAGAAGAGCGTCTCTCATCATAGCACATGTACCTACAAGGCTGCCTAAGCCAGGCTGTTTGCCAAGTTAAACTCAGTAGACTACTAAATGACACAAACCAAACTGGATTAAGTTTTAGATAAAAGCAGGAGAAGACTTCCCCTTCACATCGAAAGATGGGGACTCTGATATGAAAGGGGTGCTTTGATAGAAAAAAGGGGCTCCTGACGTGAAAGAGAAACTTTGATGTGAAAGGGGGGTGACTCTGATATGAAAGGGGAGATCTAGAGTGCTCTGCTTGAAGCTCTGATGTGAAATGAGTGCTCTGATTGAAACTCTGATATTGAAGGGGTGCTCTGATGGAAAAAGGGACTTTTAATGTGAGGGGGAAACTCTGATGTAAAGGGGGGCCACTCTGATATGAACGGAGTGCTCTGCTTGAAGCTCTGATGTGAAATGAGTGCTCTGATTGAAACTCTGATATTGAAGGGGTGCTCTGATGGAAAAAGGGACTTTTAATGTGAGGGGGAAACTCTGATGTAAAGGGGGGCCACTCTGATATGAAAGG